AATAAGGTAAATCAATTTACTTAGTAAAATTTTTCGTAAATAATAAAAATTATTATTACCTGATAATAAGTTACTTGTACTATTTTAGTATAATTTTTCTTGACAAAAAAGTAGCTTATTTTCAGCAATATATGGTATAATATATGGGATCTTTGCTAGAAAAATCACCCTTCAACATTTTTCGATCAGGCTAATTCAGACAACTTCAAACCAATATATCAGTGCCTATTTGCATATAAATCATTGTTACCTTTATTAATTCAAATATTTATTTGATAAGCTAGTGAATCAATAAGGGCAAAATACAATTTACATGTAAATAAAAACCGGTATGCTAGTTTAAAATGTTCCGAATTAGCCCAATCAGAAAATGTCAAAGGGTGATTTTTCTAGCAAAGATCCCATATATCAAAATGTTCATCTTAATAAATAGAACAAATTTGTATTAAGTGAAAACTAAGATTTACTTAGTACAATTTAAAGTAAATGGCAAGAGAAGAAATAAAAAATTTTTGTTATAGCTTGATAAGTTTGAGTTTGTTTGTAATATATTATATATTAAAATATTTATATAGAGAAGCTAAATAAGTTTTAATTAAGGAGTATAAGTAGTTAACTTAATAAAATTTTAAGAAAACTTAAAATTTGTAAATTTTGTTATTTTTAAAAGGTTATTGTAAATAATTTAATGAGTTTGCAAGTTGATATTTTAAAACTTTTGTAATATATATAAAATAGATAGCAGAGCAAGTTTACTTAGAGCATCAAAGTAAGTTTGCTTAGTAGTTCAAGAAGTTATAGTCATTTTTGTTTTGAGGTTCTTTAGAATTTGTTTTGTATAAGTGATTTACAGGAAGAGTCCATTATTTATTTAGTTGAAAAGGATATCAAATATCTAATTTTATAGCATATTTAATAATGAATCTTTAAAAACTTTGGTTTATTAGAAGCATTAAAAAATTTAATGTTTAATTATGAATTTTATGAATTTATTTAAGAAAAGAAGTCTTTAATAGAGTTGTTAATAACTTCTTTGAGATCGACTCTAGCTGCATAATAGAGCTAAGCTAATCCAAGCCAATTGAACTGTAGCTTGAATCATAATCAAGTTATAGCTTAGAATTATAGCTTGAGCTATGGCTTGAGCTATGACTCACAATTATTATATAATTAATACATATTTCTAATTATTAAAACTACAGCTCAAGCCATAGCTACTAAAGCTATTGTTTGAGCTATGGCTCAAGTTACAGCTCAAACCACAGTCCCAATAGTCATAGCTCAAGCTAAAGCCATGACTTTTAGAAGCTAAGCCAAGCCACCCAAGCCAATAACAGCCCTAGTCTTTAATCAACTTTTCAAACTATTTGATTTTGTCAAAAATCGAATTTGGTATATTGCAATTCATCAACAGCAATTGGAAGGTATTTTCAATAAATGGGATCTCAAAATTCATCCAAATATGATAAGTGATCTTCAGCAATCAAAGCTAAGGTTTTCAAGTATGGCACTTAAAGAAATTGGTTGTAACTCTTCTGATTTAACAGAACTTAGAATAAAAAAATGTCAACAAATAAAATCTGCAATAAAAAAAGTTTGGGGAAAAAAAATCTCAATGATATTGAACGTGAAAAAAAAGCAAAGTTATTATTTGATAATTTATTTAATCGAAAATAAAATAATATGTAAATGCTTTAATGTATAGTAATAGCACAACGATAAAATTGAATTTAATCTTCATTCGTGTAAATATAACAAATTACATAGTTACCCTAATAAGCTATGTTTTTTCCCAACTCTAACCTTAATCGCAAGGTTATATTTTATTAAAAAGTTTGTTTTGATAATCACGTTACATATGAACTTAGGTACGGTTACAAAATCATTTGTAACCTACGATTACAAATTAATTAATTCGTACATTACAAGATTAATAAACATTCATGAGAATATATACGTTAGTTGAGATCTACCTATTTCTGAGCCAAAACATCTAAACAATCAATCTTGAACGGTCTTATTTTACCAATCATTTAATAAAATTGAATTATGAAATTCTTTTGGATTATTTCTCAGTTTTATATTCTTATCATGATCAATGGTGTAAACATGTTCACACCTCCTCCAAGAGCAGAACAAGCTGCACTTCTTATAGATAATAAAATTTATTTTAATGGCGGGTGGAATAATTTGAATATTAATTATGTTTCAGACTTTTTTTATCTTGATATATCAAAACCTTTCTCCACAAATAATATAGGATTAATGCCTTGGACTGACCTTTCTTCAATTGCGGGCCGAATAATGAGAACTGCATCGACAGCTTGCATTGGTGCAAATAAAAATCAAAATATCTATTTTAGTGTTGGGGCTATCGCAATAGGTGATAATTTCACTTCAATATTCGATATTACAACACAACAATGAAACACCCCAAAAACTTCTGGAAATTTTAATGCAACAGAACGAAAATTTGTGCAATGTATTGCTTCGGGAAATGATATATATATCTATGGAGGATATGAAGACTTATTTAGTACGG